TATATATATAGATAGATAGATAGATAGATGAATAGATATCTTATAGACAGATCAATTTCAAACAACCAGAAGTGCGTGTATGTATGTATATATATATATATATATATATATATATATATATATATATATATATATATATATATAATGTAAATATATATATAAAAAAGTATATATACTTTTCACACACACACATACACACATATATATATATCATGAAATATCATATATATATATATATATATATATATATATATAATCTGATTGAATAAATTACAAACATGTCTGCTAATTTTTAATAAAATCCGTTCATATCCACGAATATCTTTCCGTTTATTGACGATAAAGGATGAGAGAAATATGCTATAGCTTTTTAAATTCCTTTTATTTTCATTTACAAAATACTTTCTATCTTCTGTCAAGATCATCTTCAGGGGGGCAAGTGCTACAAAACGATATGTTGTTCATTAACACAAGTATTTATATAAAGTTGTGCGTTGTTATCCATTACCGTAACTTTTTCATTATGCATTTAAATGCAAAATGGTTAACAATGTGCTGAGCGTTCATTAAAGCATGAAAATTTTGTCCATTATAGAAGTTTTTCTTTTATGTTCCAATGACATGGACATACGCGCATTAAAGCATGAAAAAACTGTTCCTTTACAGGCATTTCAGAACATTAAAGCAGTATCCTTAGTTGATTCTGTTACGGCTTTAATTTTTAATATAAATTGCTTCAAGTAATTGTAATATATATATATATATATATATATATATATATATATATATATATATATATATATATATAAAATGCAAATACCATATGTAAAAAGTATATATATTTTTCACACGCACACACACACATAAAATATATATATATAATTTTTCATCAAAAACGACTGACAATTTATACCTCTGTGATCTTAGATCAATTAGGTCTCATTTAAATATAGATGAAGATGTACCAATCCGCAGCAGACTCATTGATAATACAAATGTAATAGCCTCATCCACATGTAAATAAAATAAAAAAAATGGAGGCATTATTAATAAATAAAAGAAAGAAACGACATTTAATAAAACCAGCTAAGAAAACAGGCCATAATCTGCTGGCAGTATTTGTAAAATACAACATTCCTATAACTCTGGATGTATACACAGAACAATCCATAGATTCAGTAAAAAGAAAAACTACCCTTATTAATGGCTATATATATATATATATATATATATATATATATATATATATATATATATATATATATAGCCCAATGCAGTCCGATATACAGAACATTTGGACAATTTTATATTCAGTCGGTTTTAATGAAACTTATATCAAAGAGGATTTGCTGTCCATATACACAATTATATACAGAGCACCTTCCTTAATAAATTTAATAACAACATTAACATACTGATCCATGAATTTGAGAGGATTAAAATAGAAATAAATATAGATAAAATGTCAGATTATTCAACCAAACTTGCTTGAATGAAGATATGTATGCTACGCACACACATACATAGATCACACACATATATATATATATAACAAACATATATATATATATATATATATATATATATATATATAAATAGCTAGTATAAATTTTTACTATGTTAGTTTACACCGACTATTGTTTTATTACCACCAGCATTCTTTTGTGTATTTTATATTTATATATATATATATATATATATTATATATATATATATATATATATATATATATATATATATAAGTATATGATTGTATGTATGGAATTAATTCAATATCCAACAAATACTATTCTTAAAAAGAGTGCTCAATGCAAAGTAGAGCAGATATAATATATATATATATATATATATATATGTGTGTGTGTGTGTGTGTGTGTGTATATATATATATATATATATATATATATATATATATATATATATATATATATATATATATATATATATATATATATATATATATACAATAGCAACCATAATATAAGGAACGGAAACAACAAAGACATAAATATGTGTATTACTTAAAAAGTAACGCATGATTAGCAATGAAATTTTTACCGAATAAAGATTAGGTTGTAATGCATAAATATTATACAAAGTTACAAAAATGTAAATAATAGTTTTTTTTTTTTTTAAATAAAGATTAAATGGAACAAAGGAAATAAGCTACTGGACAAAAAGAACGATCTTGTTAATACTTGATTGTGAACAAAATATCAACAAAATTTTAAAAAGGCAGGATATGATAGATTCTGATCCTAGTAATACATATATATATATATATATATATATATATATATATATATATATATATATATATATATATATATATATATATTCAACTGTCGTATATACAAAACAATAATATGAAGTTGTCATTAGTAATTTCAGTTCTGGGAACAATTGTAATAAAGAATGCATCATCCTAACTAAGCATTCATTAAATATCTCTTAAAAGGCGATGAAAAGTGAGTTATATACAACAATGTTGTGGATTAACGTGGAAAAACCCCCACAACTGACCTCAAAATCGAAGCTCCATAGAAGAAAAATCATGTTCGTGTAGTAGGATTATTCATTTTGAGTATATAAAACGCAGTGATCCATTAAATGTACATTTATACTTCCAGCAGTCGCAACGTGTTCATAAAGGTTTATTCGGAAAGCGTACTGCCCTCATCAATAAGAAAAATCTTGCTCTCCAAAAGTGCTCCGACAAACAACTGACACGACTGTCAAATTTATGTTCTGCCGTTTCCACACAACTCTGGCAAGATCATGCAGCGTCACTATAACAAGAGATACCAAATCTTTTAAAAATCACTACCTGCATATTTTTATATACAAAAGTCTCAAAATGCAAAAGTCTTAAAATACAAAAGTCACAAAATATAAAGATCTTGAAGTAGGCCTCGTGAGAAAAGGAATAGACATTTGTACTAACAGTGTCCCAGGTAGCATCAACAGACAGCTTGCCGAGAGAATTGCCCTACTGGGTACATCCCATATACTAAGAAAAATGCTATCAATTAAATGACAATTCTCCTATAGGGCAAAACCGCCATAGTTTGGGCCCGGCTCTACAGGATACAAAGCAGGAAACATCATGCACAATACACATACATAATAATAATAATAATAATAATAATAATAATTATTATTATTATTATTATTATTATCATTATTGTTGTTGTTGTTGATGGTGGTGGTATTATTTCTACTTACCCTAACTTACGTTCTAAGACAATGTTTTACCAAGTCTTTCACCTCGGACCTGAAGTAAAAGGCTTTCAAAAAGTTGCTGACCCTATTATAAGGAGTTTTGTTGCGTATATGAGCGGCGTTTATGAGCACGGTTTTTTTTTCCTATTTCAGATAGTGGGGGCTTTTCTGGGATTCGATTAACATACAGAGTGTCCCCACGAAAATGTAATCACACTTTAAGCGATAATAAATGAAGTATTTATTGACTTGCTAAGAAGCTCAAAGGTCAAAATTAAGAAATATTAACGTTTATTGACTAAAAAAAAAGATATTTGCTGTTTTAATTAAATATTAAATAAAATTAAATGCATGGACCTGAAAAATAATCAACTTATATTTTTGCGGGCTAGGACTCCCTGTGTATATTAATATCCTTTTAAGCCTTCCTAAGACGCTGCTATTATTATTATTATTATTATTATTATTATTATTGGAATATTGATTGTATTTTAATGTCATTTTTTTTTCTATTTCCAGGTCCTTATATTATGAAAACTTGTCACATTCTTTTGCTGGGATGTTTTTATCAGACGGGTAGGCCATATTTTACGTTTTTATCAAATGGGTATGCCATTTTTTACGTTTTTATCAGATGGGTATGCCATTTTTTACGTTTTTATCAGACGGGTAGGCCATTTTTTACGTTTTTATCAAATGGGTATGCCATTTTTTACGTTTTTATCAGATGGGTATGCCATTTTTTACGTTTTTACCAGATGGGTATGCTAATTTTTACGTTTTTGAAGTCTTTTTGTTACTGTATTCTATGTATTGGCTTATCTAGTATCGGTATACAAGATGAATCCCCGGAATACTATAATTCTTTCACTTCATCACACTGGTGTCTTTTGGGGGGGGGGGGCAGATCATTTTTCTGTTCCTGGAAAGTAATATAACGGCGCTATTTCGCTGGCTTATCATGTCTATAATTGAGTGAAGGTATACCAATAAAGAGAGGTTCG